AAAACACCACTTGAGAGACCACGACGTAGATAGAAAGATTATATGAAAATAAATAAGATGTGAAGGTATGAACTTTATTCAGTTGACTCCGGATAGGATTCTGAACACTGTAATGAGACCTCGGGTTCTATAAATGGCTTATAATTTCTTGATCAGTTGAGCGACAATCAGATTCTTAAGTGGGACTCTTCCCACTTGAGTTAATAGTCACGCCTACATTGCTATAAAAATGCGCAAAAGGAAGTGTAAGATCTGAGATGTCTGACTTCTTTCGTGAAGACCCTGAGACTTTGAATAGAGATTGTTAGCGTCTGTAATTTCTGACAGTAGGAACATAATCAGCTGTTGACTCTTTGTAGTGAGGGATGATGAGTTCAAAATTACAAGCAACGTTGCCAGAAATTTTGATGAATAACAAGAAGATAAGAAAGAGGGAGCTTGTTCATTCGGTTATTTTTATTTCATTCTAGAAATGGCTGATTCATACGATGACTAATTTAAACCAAGGAAATTAAATCATTCGCTAATTTGAATGCGGACTATGGCATGGACAGTCAAGATTTGTAAGATTTGAGGTTTTCACATCGGTGAGTATGAAGATTTCCGTCTTCTGGATTGCTGCGCAACAACCCAGAAGACAGAAATCTTCACAGTCAAGATTAATTATTACATACTTATTATAAATCAATGTCCATGCTTCTTTATTAACTTCTATTAATTACTGTATATACTTTGTAAATAGCTCAGTCAGTATAGTGACTAGCTACGGGCTGGACGACCGGGGTTCGATCCCCGACGGGGGCAGAGGATTTTTCCTCTAGCCTCTGCGTCCAGACCGGCTCTGGGGCCCACCCAGCCTCCTCTACAATGGGTACCGGGGTCCTTTCCCGGGGGTAAAGCCGGCCGGGGCGTGATGCTGACCACTCACCCCCATCTAGTGCCGAGGTCAAGGAAGAGAGGAGCTATACCTCCGCTCCCCCAAACGCCTACATGGCGTATAGTGGGACAAACTTTACTTTTACTTTGTAAATATAATGCGGAGAAATGTTGCGAACAGCCGTATTGATAGAGGTTTTCGATGGCTGCCCTCAAAGCCTCCTGGCAAATGGTGGAATAGTCCTTTGTAGTAACGCACAAACGCTTCCTATCAGAACCCTTCCCATTCATGGGTCACAGCCGTCCTTTAGTTGTATCAGTTGAAGTTACATAATCTAATCAATTCGTTCAGCGTCATAAGATAACGGGCTAACCAACCTGTACCTACCTGAAACTTCGGTAACCACTTGCAAGAGTACACGGTTTCACTACCCAGAAGATCACAATCTACAAGCATATGTTGTTACGTTTAGTATGGGCAATAAGCGTGGGGTACAACCAACTTCAGACATGATGTTGGAACTCCGGCCTTTTCATCTGCATCGGGTTACAAAAAGACAAAGGGATTATATCACTCTGACACATAAGATCTGTTTTAATATTATCCTCGCGTCAAGGCCTAAATTTCCAATTGGTTTCTTCATTTCTCAAACAAAAAATTCGTATGTAGTTCTCATCTTTAATGCGCGCTACGTGCTTCAACCGTTTCACCATCCTAGATTCGATCACTGGAGTGTCTTTTTACTTGTAAAAACTACATACTCGTACAAATTCACACTCAGTTTAGAAACTATTGAATGCATAATTAACTGTATCATATTTACATGTGCTCTAGGCGGCTGAAATGCGGATAATAACAACAAAGGTTTGTTATAAAGCAAGGACGGTAAAGTGCATGGATAATTTCTGAACAGTGCAAAGGACAGCAACGTCGCACTGGTAACATTTAGAGATTAAAAAGTAGTTATACCGCTTTTGATATCAAGAATTCCTTACGGTCTTGATAGGAGCAATACAATGCAAGCTATGCCCTTCCCCTTACTGCCCACTTCCTGATGAGCTTAAGGAAGGACATGAATATCAACACAATGACATCGTCCCACTGCATTGCACAGGAAATGTTTCATTTAGAGCAGTTGAGTGGACCCTTGTAAGTTTTTCTTCTAAATACGAATGGATGAGTGTAAATTGTGTGTGGGGTTGAACCAACTTACATTAGCCACATGCCACGTGTATTTTTCTGAATGAAAAACCACAGAATAGCTGGCTGATCTCTTATACGGAGGAAATTATTTAGTAGACTGGAAGCGTGTGCCGTCAACAGATAACTACACATGCATTCACTTTCTTGTCTGTGGAATAAATATGTTTATACGTTCGTTATTTTAATTGAGGGAGATTTCTGATTCGAATTATCATTAACTAAAGGGCAAAGCAGAACAACGTAGTAACCCATATTCTTGGAATCTTTCTGTGATAAAATGGAAGTTCTTTCGATATCTCTTTTTGAAGATTCACTCAACCCAAACACGACAGTTTTTTAAATAATTTTATTTTGGTACCCCGTTACGCTGACATTTGATTAACCTCTATCAAGACGAGAAATTATACTCTTCCGCTGTACAGTAGCCAGCAAATTAAACACAATTCACGCTACTGAAATGAGAAAGAGAGATTTAGTAAGAGCCATCAGAAAATACATTCTTTATTCAGAAGTGCACGCCACATAAAATTATGATCGAAAAGTTTTAAAAGTTCTGTCCGAAACTGAGGATTTTAAAGAAACAGGTTTCAAATTTTGAGAACTGGATTCAGACGACTTAAGATAGAATTCAGTGGATGCATCTTGTAAACATTGTAATGAACCTTCGGCTTCCTTGAAAGTAGAAAAGATTTCTTGACTAGCAGAGAAACTATTAGCTTCACATGAAGGACTGTTGGTACGTTTTGGTGGTTGGGGCTTAACTGTCGTCAGAAGTGTTCTCACTGAGTGCCTGATGTCGGTTGTTTGTATCAACCTCTTTTCCAGAACTGATTTCAAGCGATTTCTTAATGCGGTGTTTCCCAAACAATATTACTTCCTATGTGTTCGCATATGCTTCTACGATATTATTCACAGACCTACAGACAAGGATGTGAAATAAACATTTCAAAACCGTCTCATATCCGATGCGTGAACCATTGTTTATGAATTGCACCTACGTTTTTCTTTCGAAATACGTATTCTACGAAGTACTGTTTAGAAATTTAGAATGAATTCAGTATAAATAACATACAAAAACAGTCTTACGGATTTATGGAGTTCGATTTTCCGCATCTAGTAAGAATTTATATTAAATTAAATTTGAAGGATTTCAATGTAAATATACTCACAAAAGGATTTTATGTGCACATTCAACCAAAATTCAAACGCCTAATTGCACAAAGAAAGATCAGTCAACAATTTCGAGGTAACACGTTGAATTTGGTGGGCTGTCTGAGCCTGTTCAGTTTGTATGTTTCATAAAATCGCCACTTGTTGACAAACTAGTATTAGGATTGCTCGTAGAAATCGTAAATCACTTTAATTAGAATTTCATCAAGTCTTATAAGTTTCTAGGAGAGAAAAAATATGCATGCATCGTCTTATACGTTGGGAAGTACATTGAGAAAAAATAACTGGATTCAAACCAAACATATTTATTTGTTTCTCTCTGAATGTCTGTATAACTCCAAATGTCATTATCAGTTTATCTTTATCTCTTGTGTACAGAAGCTTTTCTGATACCACGTACAATGCGTTCTCTTCACGCTGAACCTAGGCGTTTTTCAAGTGCAGACACTGTCAGTACCTGTTCACGGTTCGGAATTTTAATTCGCCTTTGATTTCTACAAAATATTGTTTTAATTTATAACACAAAGTTGTTTCACAATGCGCTCCTTAGAAGTATGTGGCGGAAGAAATCCGAACGTCGAAAGCTAATGTACGTAATGGTTGCATATTTAGCTGTGCTTCTCACACGGACTGTTGCTAATCCAACTACTGAAGTTAAATATGTTGTATTTAAAAACTATGTAAACTACTGCTAGTGTGTCATGTAATTAAATCCTTCAGCCTAATACATATTTAAGCCATTAATTTTGCATGAAAATATTAAAATTATACACCATATCCACTGCTATACAGCAGAATTATAATGTATATATGTATTTTCCAACTTTCAATCAACACCGTGATATAAATTATATCTTATTACGTTATGTATTTCTTTATACTTTTTTAAAATGTTATATTTGTTTGACATATGTGCATTTTACAGATAATGTTCTTCGATATTTAAATTAATTTAAAAGTAATTTGGACCTGAAAGGGATTATTTTATATATGCCTCAGTACATGAATATATCTTTTATATATATATATATATATATATATAATGTTAAAATGTTTTAAACAGTGTCTAGAAACAAAAACAGAAATTAAGCCAAAGAGAAAAATTGATCCAGGAGATAGTACACCACAAGGCAGCTCTCCTAATATTATCACGGTAGTCATAACGAGGGAGTTTCAATTAATCGGACATGAATCTGGGATTAAACTATAAGAAATAAATACGTACATAATTTTGGTGATATTGAAACGCTGGAGCATTTTGTCAACAAGCTTCATCATCGTTAAATTTTGGCCTCTGGGGGTGCGACCAATCATGCATCGATGCAAGCATATTGCGTTTTATACAATATAAGAAATGCGCATAATTACTCTTTTGAAGTTTTCCTTCGTCTAAGTATTTTTATTTAAAAGCACGTTGTTTCGGAAGATCTTTCTACCTCCGTTTTCAGGTGACCCGTACTCTGTTGTGCCCGCTCGTTGAACACAAAAGAAGTTATTTATTGTGGGCGTAGTAAATTTATGTTCACTTTTCTTTGTACGTTTCTACGCCCACCCATATCATTGCTTGGTCTATCTAATCGTTTTCGACGAACACTTACATCAATGGACTTTACTTCTGTCCCACAGCACAGAGTCATTCTGCGATAAAAAAATTGTTTGTGTGTTGTTAAACGAGGCACTTGCAATATTGTGCTGATAATGATAAACTGATATCGAATTGATATAAACGGCAAATGCACATGCATTGTATCTAAATCTGCTTTTTACTTGTAATAGCGTGAAGTCGTAACCCACATTCACGATTAGAAATTACACGATCTAGGTCCAGAAATAATACTAGGTCACCAGTAAACGGGGATGTCAGAGGTTCGAATTCCACTAGGAATACGGATGATCGCTTTACTGTTAATACGTAACACGCCTGCGAACTGAAATGATCAAATTGTAAATGCAACAGAGACTTACAAATAGGCCTATTCCATTTTCTACTTATAAATTTGCCCAAAAACTGGCATTCGTGATTTAAGCAGAAACTGGAAAAAGGTGGCAGGAAAAAAGACGGCCAAGTATCGCTCATATACATCAATATAGGTGTATAGTGCCGAAATCATAATGACGTAACCGAATGTTTGGGTATTTATTTGTACATAAACAAGAAGTAGTGCGACTGATACTTACCTCTGTGGGTGCGTCTCTATTGGTACGCTGTAAACCAGTCAGTAACATGAGTCTCTGAACGGCTTTGATTTGCCTTAATTTTACAAACTATTATTTTAAATTTGCACCAATGATCTGAAGTTAATTACGTTTTACAAGATTATTCCCTGAACAAATGAGTAAAAATATTTCTCGTTACTGGCTCTGTTTGTACGTAACAGATCATCGTGTTTAAATAGGCGATCTTCGAAGTGAGGATGTTGCAGTAGGCTCAACATGTTGATAAGATCGAGTATGTATATATATATATATATAATTTATATACGATACGATTTATATATATCGTACATATAATTTTAATGGATAGATTCGGCAATGAAATGCCACTTTGAAAGTAAAAAAATAAATGGAAACTTGGAACCCTAAGGGGAATACATGGCAATTGTATGAATTGAACTGGATCAGAATCGTGCCCATTTTGTGGACTTGCTGTATAGACACTGAATCTTTGGAGTCACCCGAGAGAAACATGTTACGACAATTCATAATATAAAGTAAGACTCCACAACGTACGAAGAAATATTAGAACATGGATCTATGTGCCAACATTGCTTTGGATTTCATCTGCAGTGTTGGGGCTTTGTTAGGGATCACCAAGGTAGCGTACCTCCCCTCCTTCAATTCGTCACACGATGTAGGATTCCCTTGGACTCTCAGAAAATAAAGTACGTCAAACCAGTACGTTTTACGTGAAAATGTACCATACTAGAAGAAGATTCAGCTCGCTAACCTATTTCTGTTCTTGTCCTTTATATACAAAGCTATAAGGTAAAGCGAGTAGAGATTGCGCACCATTCGGGAAAAAATCACTAAAAATCGAATGTTTATCTATTTTCGTAAATAAGTGTACACATGTGTTCTTTGGTATGTTAGGCATATTTAATGAACAATATTCCGATTGTTTTTTCAATTTTTGATAAGATAACGCAGTTTTTTCAGACATTCGATTTTACGCAATCTCTCCTAACCGGGTAGGTGAGATTGCGCAAATGGGTAGGAAAGATGGTTTATGGTTTGAATTACTTATTTCGATCAAACTTTATTAGAAATTGTTATTATAAAATGAATTAGAAGCTTTATTATTACAGAAAATGAATAGTAATGTTAATAAGAAAAGAAATTGTTTTATTATTACAAAAAATAAATAGATAATTGTATCCGACTGTTTATACTCAAAAGCACACATATTATTCTTCGTAATTTTAGGAAAGTTAAGTCGGCCTATTGTAAGTCAGGAGGTGAAACACACTTAATCAAACAAAAAACTGAATCAAACAACAAACGTACTTAATTACTAATATTAACCCTTTGCGGTCCCTTTTAAATACTACTACAGCTCTCTGCAAGTCTATTTAAATACCACTAAGCTGTATAAATTCAACTACT